GGGGTGGAGGAGACAGGGTGCGGGGTGGAGCTGGAGGAGACAGAGTGCGGGGTAGGGGTGGAGGAGACAGGGTGGATGGTGAAGCTGGAGGAGACAGGGTGGGCGGTGGAGCTGGAGGAGACAGAGTGCGGGGTGGAGCTGGAGGAGACAGGGTGCGTGGGTAAAGTGCCTGGTCTCACAGCCCTGGCTCCAAGTCCTGCTCTGACACCTGGCTGTGTGACCCTAGGCAAGCCACGTTACTTCTCTGAGCCTCAGTCCTCCCATCTGCAAAATGGGGACCAAACAGCTAGCCCATGAGTGTTTCACCTAGCTGCATGGTCATCACTAGGATCCTTAGTCATAGCGGGTGTCTGGCCCAGGCAGGCCTCAGTCAAGGGCCACAGAATTGCCCATAGCGTGTGTGGGAAAGGGTAGGGGTAGGAAATGCCAGTGCCAGGACTTACTTTAGGCACAGTCCCAATGCCCAGTCAGTACTGGGCCACTCCAGGTGCCACTTGAGGGCTCCCCACCTGCAGGACAGAGCCAAGTTCCCATCCCAGTTCTTCCATGTTCCCTCTCTGTGGCCTTGGGAAAGTGACCTGCCCCCTCTGGCCTCCATTTTCCCATCTATAAAATGGGCATAGTCATGCTCCTCTGAAGGACCCAGAGCCCAGCACACAGTTGGCACCCAGGACTCACTCACCACAATTCTGACATGCATCCCAGCCTAGCCAGCACGCCCTCCCCACCGCTCCCCTCCCCGGCGCTCCTCTGAGCAACTCACAGATGATTTATACTTCAGAGGACGAATCAATACAATATACAGGCAAAGACATCTTTAATCTTTGGAAGGGATTAGTCTACAAGGTACAGCAGCCTCTTTCTACCGGCCGCTCAATTCTGATTTCAATTTGGCCAGCTGGAGTGCAGCTCTCTCTCTCTCTTCCTTTCTTTTCACCTGCCAAAAGACGTTCCTCCAAATCAAATTTCATTTAGCAGGTTGCGAGAGGAGACCTAGCTTCCTAAACTGCACTGACCAGGCCCCCGGGGGCTGCTGCACACTGGCATGGGGCTGTCTTGGGAGGGTTTGGGGACATGGGAAGCCCAGCCAAGCAGGAATCCAGGCCCTCAGGAATGTGTGGCTGGTGCATGGGAGTGGCAGGCACTGTGAGGGGCGCCTCTGCCAGGACTGGAGTGCCCCAAACTGAGGCACTTTTAAAAACTCTTCAGTAGGCCGGGAGCAGTGGCTCACGTCTATAATCCCAGCACTTTGGGAGGCTGAGGCAGGTGGATCACAAGGTCAAGAGATCAAGACCATCCTGGCCAATATGGTGAAACCCCATCTCTACTAAAAATACAAAAATTGGGAGGGGGGGTGCACACCTGTAGTCCCAGCTACCTGGGAGGCTGAGACAGAAGAATCTCTTAAATCCAGGAGGTGGAGGTTGCAGTGAGCCGAGATTGCACCACTGCCCTCCAGCTTGGCGACAGAGCGAGACTTCATCTCAAAAAAAAAAAAATCTTCAGTAGACTTAATTTTTTTCTAACCACCCAATACTTGATGTTTGTAAAACAAGTAAACAATAAGCTCACCTTCAGCCAAAACACAATGGCCAGACCCCACCCCATCCCGTGCCTCTCCTGCCCCTTCAGGTGGTGTGTCCATGTGTGTGCTTGTGTGTCCCTGTCATACCCTAGCACTTGCTCAGGGGCTGGCTCCTGTGGGTCTTGGCGAGCACGTGAACGGCAGAAGACAAGAGTACAGAAACAGGTGAGACCTCTAGTCCTGGAGCCAGCGCGCCTGGGTCCCATTCCCTTCTCCACCTCTTACTCGCTGTGCGGCCTGGTGCCAGCTATCATTCAGCCTCTGCGCCTGAGCTTCCTCTCATGCAAAATGGGGACAAGGCAGCATCTACCTCGGAGGGCAGGAAGGACTGCCCAGGACAGCAGGTGCTGGGCACAGAGGGAGGCCTGCACGAGCGCTAGGGGTGACTTCTAGGTCCCTCGGGGCAGGGACTGAACAAACTAAACACTGAGACTCAGGGGCCCACTAACCCTTCCCCCATCCTACGCCTTTGTCCCCAAATCCTGCAGAGGTCATGCCTTAAACACAAAAGGCAGGAGGTTTGTTTGGGGAAGAGTTCAAGCCACAGAGGAGGAGAGGAACCAGCAGAGCAAGGTGGAAGGTGCAGCCAGAGGGAGGGTCCTAGGTCTTGGGTCTGAGCAAAGGAGAAAAGGACAAGGGTTAACCCCTTGGCAGGTGACTCCCACCTAGCAGAGCTGTGGAGCCGGGCCCCTGGCTGGGTCTCTGCTGCTGCTGGCGCCCTGGGAGGGCTGGCTGCATCGGCTGCCGCTATGGCATCTGGGGGCGGCAGGCAGCCCTGGGCTGGGGACCTTCACCTGGGCTGGGGTGGGCCAAGAGGGGACAGCTCCTGGGGGCCGTCCAAGGGCCCAAGGGAGGGGCTGGGCTCTGGGGCTCTGACATTGTCTGCCAGGGTCCCCGGGTGCTATCGCCAGGCCGCCTGGAGGTGGGAGTGGGGTGCTGTTCACCTCTGCTTCCTTTTGCTCTGCCAGGCTGCCGGGGTGGGGAGTGGCCTGGAGCCTCAGCCACCAGTCAGTGCTGACCCACTTCCCGCTGCCCCGCAGCCCCCTCCACCAGGTAGAGGCACCCAAGCAGCTGCAGCTGTACAATTAAACGGGCTTATCCGAGATTTATAGCAGGATTATGACTGCAGGGTGTTACCAGTGGCCGCCTCTGGACACTCTGTAGTCCGTAGGAAAAGCAATCGGAGTCCTCAGGCCATGAGGGTATACATATACAGGCACTGGGTCTCAGGCACTGGCAAGCCGTGTAGAGGCAGAGCCTTGGGAGAGACCAGGGGCAAGGCAGGGGGGCCCTCTCTGCAGGAAGTGGGTCTGCCAGGAGGGAGAACGGCCTCCCTGCTTCCTCCACACCCCCGTGACAGGGCCCCGAGGTAGTCACAGGCAGCATGGCCCCACAGCCCCCAGGAGCTGTCCCCTCTTGGCCCACCCCAGCCCAGGTGGAGGCCCCCAGCCCAGCGCCGCCTGCCGCCCCCAGATGCCCACAGCGGCAGCCCATGCAGCCAGCCCTCCCAGGGCACCAGCAGCAGCAGAGACCCAGCCGGGGCCCCACTCCATGGCCCTGCTGGTGGGAGTCACCTGCCAAGGGGCTAACCCTTGTTATCGCTCAGCCCCTTATCGTTGGGACACCTGAACGCTTTATCACAGAGCCTCTGAGGACAGCAATTGAAGGCAATGCAGCAAGTTTAATGCGGGAAGGTGGCAGCAGGGTATGAGGGGGAGACCTCGAGGATAATGAAACTTGCCAGAGCCCCTCCAACCCCAACCACAGGGACTTCTCACTGATGCCCAAACCAGCACAGGCCTCCTACAGCCCCTCCCCCCTCACCTGCACCACAGACAGGTCAATTTTAGGGACTCCAAATTCTTCATTCCTCTGAGGGTCTGCTTGTCTGTCTGCCCATTTCCCGAGTCCCTGGCAGCCCCCTAGACAAGGTCCCTGGTCCCCACCCATCCCATCCTCTGCTGTGAGGAGAGCAGCTGCCCCACAGGCTCCCGCACCAGGGATGTCAACAGTCCCCTCATCTGCACACCCAGGTCTGCAGAGGCTCACACCTGCCCTGCACGGGAGGCACCCAGAGCTGGGCGAGCCTGTGGGCCAAACCACAGTGCTCAAAGATGAGGCCAAGGCCCACATGGCAGCAGCCAGGCAGTCGGAGTCCAAATCAGGCCCGGCCGGGGGCTCTCGGGGGGTCAGTCACTGTGCCAGGACGCCCCCGAGCCTGGCGTGACCCTGCGGCCAGGCGCTTGACTCACCGTCCTCACGGGACTTCTGGATGAAGGCCTCCACACCGCTCTCGCCATAGCTGCCCTCTGAGGCCACCGTGGACACGTAGTTCCACTTGAGGGCACGGACGATGTCCACCATGGCCTGGGCCTGGTACGTGTCCGAGGGCACCACGCGGGAGAAGAAGTCGTAGCGGCTGTTGTCACTCAGGTCTGGCGCTGTGGAGGCGTAGCTGATCTGGGGTATCTGGGGGGCGAGAGGGGCTGCTGAGGGCGGCGGCTGGCCCCCACCCTGCCCAGCCAGCCCCATGCCCCTACACTCCAACCTCCCTCTGGTTCCCACAGACTTAGGACCACCGGAGCCCACCCCTCCCCACGGGTGCTGCCACCTCCTCCAGAAAGTCTCCCAGTGGCCTCCCTGGGGTCTCCAAAGACACCCTAACCACACACACCAACACATACACACGTACATACACCACACACACATATACCCTGGGAGCCTCTGGGTGCCTCAATTTACATGAAGAGCTCAAAGATCCCAGCCCAGGGAAAATCCCCACATGCATGAGATGATTCAGCCTGGAGTTTGGATGAGATTTCGGTGTTGGGAGTGGTCCTGAGGGGTCATGTGGCCCATCCCATGTCCCTAGGCAACTCCTCTGGTCAGGACCCAGAAGACCCTGTCCCCACAGCTCTCTGCCGTCTCAGGCTCCTTCCTCATGCCCTGCTCAGAGGAGACAGAGCCTCGATTCCAGCCCCGGGTCCCCCACTCCACCCCCAAGGATGGAAGCCCAGGAAGCTAGCGGGGTGGGCTTCAAGAAGTCCCTTCTCTCTGCACTGGGGGCACTGAGCCCAGAGAGGCACCAGCCTGCCGGGTGCCACAGCCCCTCCAAGGCAGAGTTGACCAGGCCCCTGCCCAGCCCCAGGGCTTTCCAGTCACAGGGCATCTTCCTGCCCCACAGGCCCCAGCTGGGCCCTCCCCAGGTAGATGTGAGACTCAGAGCCCCTGCCTCCTGTAGATAACACCCAACCATCCCCAGGACGGGGAAGGGGTGTGGTCCCTCCTCTCCGCCCCACCCCTCCAGGGCCCACCCACTGTTTTGCTCTCCTGGCTGGCCCACAGGGACTCTCCCTCCTATGTGCCCTCTGCCCGTGCAGTTGTCCAGGAAGATGGAGGTGGGAGACGCACAGTGATCCGGGCTGGTGTAGAAACTAACATTTTCTGCCCCTAAGGAATCACTCAGGTTCAATCCTGGCCAAGAAACCTGTGGCCAGGACTTCCGGCCCAGTGGCAACTGTGGGTGGAAAAATGTTCCTGGGACAGGAGGGTTGGGGGTGACCCTGGCAAGTGGTTGCCCACTTGGCCAAAGCCTAGTGTGTCCCCACCCCCAGGGACCACCTCCCAGACTGGTGGGCTCCCCTTCCTCAGGACAGGGGGCAGAGGCTCTGCCGACCCAGAAGCTTCACCTCAATATCCTGACATTCAACTCTATTCACCTCAGCAAAGCCGTTACTGAGCACCTATTTAAAACACTCACAGAGCTTCCTTCTGGTGGGAGGAGAGGAGCAAGCAAGCCAACAAGTGACCAGGACCATTCTCCACAGCTATGAGGCCTCACAGAGTGGCATGAGGGGATGGGACATCAGGGCTGCAGGTGGCAAGGCTGGGAAAGGCCTCTCTGGGGAGGCGACGGCCGAACAGAGCCAGCAGGAGCAAGGATGGGAAAGTGTCGGAGCCCAGGGAGCGGCAGGTCCCAGCAGGCCCCTGGGGAATAAGCTTGGTGTGTGGGTGGCCGAGTAAGGGGCCTGTGTGGCTGCAGCAGAGCAGGATGGGGAGAATCAATGCACAGTAGGTCCTACAGCCTCTTCATAAAGGGACAAGTGACAATAAGGAAGTTAACTGGGGGCAGTGAGGGTCCACCCTCCCCTTAGAATGGCCACCACTGAAAGCATGGCCCAGCTCAGCCACCCAGCTGACCTTCTCTACCCCTCCCCTGTGGGAAAGGCCCAAACCACTGGGACCTTCAGGGTAGGGGAAACAACTAACTGGTTTTTTGGATTTTCTAAGCAACGAAGGGTTAACTCCAAAACCTCTCACTGCAGCTCTTGTGGTCTTTATAAAATGGCACATACTACATTATCCACTGGCACTGTCTGTAACAGTAAAACTCTGGAGGGTGGGTGCAGTGGCTCACACCACTGTAATCCTAGCACTTTAGGAGGCCAAGGCGGTGGATCACAAGGTCAGGAGATCGAGACCATCCTGGCTAATAGGGTGAAGCCCCATCTCTACTAAAAATACAAAAAAAATTAGCCAGGCATGGTGGCACAAGGCTGTAGTCCTAGCTACTTAGGAGGCTGAGGCAAGAGAATCACTTGAACCCGGGTGGCAGAGATTGTGGTGAGCCGAGATCACAACACTGCACTCCAGCCTGGGCAACAGAGCGAGAGTCCGTCTCAAACAAAAAACAAAAAAAAACAAAAAACTTTGGAAACAACCTACATGTCCATCAAGAGGGGATTGTTTAAAGACGTTCCAACCAGACAAGGAATATTACACAGCTGTGAAAAGGAACGAGGCCGATTTCCAAGCACTGCTCTGGGTGGGTCTCCAAGATATTGTGGGGTAAGAACAACAGCAATAAGGAGGCAGCGTGCAGGTGGCAGCTGTTGACTGTGTGGAAGTGGGGGTGCACACTCACTGCTCCGAAAAAGCACATGTGTGTTGCCTCAGGTGAGGAAAGCAGGTGGCTAAGACAGGTTCGGGCAGGGACCTTTCACCTTCTACCCTTTGTAGGTTTCCAGTATAGAACCATGCACATCTACCACCCATGTGGAAAGTAAATCACACTCATCCCTGAATCTCCGTGCCGCCGCCCCTGCTCTGCCAGCAGTGACTGAAAACCAGCCCAGTCCTCTCTGCCTTGGAGAACACTTCGCAGAAAAACAGCACCCTCTAAAACGTGAGCTCTGACTGGATATTTATTAATTCATTTTAAGGTTATTGTTATTTTGAGGTCTGAAAACGGTATTCGAGTCATGGCTGGTTTGTTTTTAAGGAACCTCGTGTTTTAGAGTAGTTTCTCAGCCTTCGCACTATTCACACTGCACAGGGAGGTTAGTCCTTTGTTGGGGGGAGGTCCCTGAGAGGCCAGCGTTTTGTTGACCTCTCTCTGCTCCCCTCTGCTGGGCCTCAGCCAGGAGCAATCGTCACCTGCCTGCCTCCATGCCCCTCCTCGTCAGAGTCTTGCCTGACTTCTGGTGTTTCTTCCCACCAGGCCTGAGCTACCCGGGAGGGCAGGAGGCTCACTCAGTTTTCTGGACTTGCTCGACCCAGGCCTCACAGCTGGAGGCAGATGGAGACACAGGACTGCCCAGATGAGGTGGCTCCTTCTCACTCATCTCTATTCCTCCTTCCAAGCTCCAGGCCCAGGTGGTGCTCAGCACAGGTGGTGAGCATTGGATGGACAGATGGATGTCTGGGCATCCGCTGTGGGAACCAGCCCTGTTAGCAGCCCTCAGATCCTGGCCCATGTCCAGAGTCAGGCCCTGGCACACTGGCCCCAGCCCCATGGCACACACTCCATTCCCCCAGAGGGTGGGGGCCCAGCATGTGCTCCTACGGGACCCGTGTGTCAGCTTGCAGGAGACCCCTGCGCTGCTGACTTCAAGAGCCCAGGAGGGGCCCCTGCCCTTCCCCCAACAATTCCTGAGATGGGGGTGAGGGGATCACAGGCTCCTGAACAGGGTCCCGGGGACAAGCCAGCCTCCTGCAGTGTGTCCACCTGCCAGCCCCTCCTGCCCGCTCTCCCCCAAGCCTCCCTCCTCAGCTCTAGGCCTTCCCACGTTTCCTGGGATGACAGTTTCAAACAGAAATTAGGGAGCTACACTGCTGAAGTTCAAATCCCAGCTCTGCCTCTCACCAGCTGAAAAGAAACTTGGGCAAGTTACTTCACCCCCCAGGCCTCAGTTTCTTCAGCTGCAGAATGGGAATAATTACAATAGCTGTCTCCCAAGGCTGTGAGGGTCACCTGAGGGAAGTCAGGCAAAGCACTCAGAACAGCGCCTGGCAGGAGGTGAGCGCTAAGGGTCAGCCCTTAGGGGAGCTGCCATTCCTCCCACTGAACTTCCTCTGGCAGCAATCACCTTCTCTTGCCTCTCTCTGACTTTACCTCCCAGGACTCTCCCTCTCTGCTGGCCCCTCCTGCCGGAGCTCTCTCCATGGCCTCATCATTGTCATTGTCACAGGGACATCCTGGGAATGCTATCGGGTTCTCCAAGGCTCTCTTGCCCCAGCCTGGAGTGGAAGGATGGGGGTAAGGAGGTGTCAAGGGCTGCCATGGGGCCACCACAGGCAGGCAGGGAGCCACATCTGCGTCTAAGCAAGTGACTGTGACAACCTGGCCCATGTGGGACTCTCACGTGTCTTCAATTCCCACTATCTCCGCAGCCCAGCCTGAGCAGGAGGGGGACATGCAATTTACATTCTCCTCAGAGAACGCTCCTCTCCTCTCCCCACAGCAGCGGCGGGTGGGGCGGGGGGAGGCAGAGGTGCCTGCCCCAGTGCCATCTGCTCCATCTCTCTGCCTCCTTTGCTTCCTTCACCCAACGCTTTGAGCACCTACTGTACACCGGGCACTCTTTCAGGTGCTGGGGACACAGCACCTTGTGTCACGCACTCATGGGGCAAGAGTCGGAAAGAACTCAGATTCCAGCAGCCCCTGACCAAGCACTGGCATCCTGCTCCAGGTCCCTCTGTCTGTCCCTTTCACCTTCCTCTTTGTCTCTCTTCCTCCGTCCCCAGAGCCTATGACCTCATCTCCCACATCCAAATCCCCCTGGTTCATCAAGGCCCAAGTCAAATGTCTCCTCCTCCAGGCAGCCCTCCCTGAGCCCTCATCCTCCAGAGGGGGCCTAGCCTCCCACAGCCCTGAACGTGGCTGCTCTGAGGGCACCAGACACGTCCTCCCAGTGTTACTATTCTCTGCCTACTTATCAATTCAACCGGCCTTCTAAGCACCCCACCTTGTAGGGCAAGGCCACGTGGAAAGACGCAGAGGTGAACCAGACTGATCCCACCGCAAACACCAGTCAGTACCTACTGCATCCTGGGAGACACCAGTCACCAGGCAGAAAGTGCTCCACAGTCTGGGCCCCCCTGCGAAGGGGTGGGTTGTACAGCCACCTGGAGTGACACACAGTGTGCCTGCAGCCATCACCCAGGAGAGCCTCAGCAGAGGTAAGGGG